AAAAAATCACAACAAAACACAACGAAACAATCCAACGCGATACGCAAAAAAACAATCACAGATTATAAACAATTTATAAACAGATTATAAGTAATCGATAACAGCGCCTTGGAAGTGTACTAACATAATATTTTACCCCTTCCACCAGAGATATCAGTCTATTTGTTGTGGTTTAGGATAGCGGCATCTACTTTACACAGCCCGTGCCCGCACGGGTAAGTACAAATAGACTGGTTATACACCTATTGCAAAATGGCAACACTGGATTGGGGAGCGTCAGGCGTTCCTGTTTATACGCGTAGTCATTCACAGTCAGTCGTTCGGTCTTCAGGCTAGCTTTGATATTACAGTGTGTTTTAGTATATGTGTTTTTTAAGGAATTAATCTAATATTTAACTAAAAATGTTAAAAACGGTTAAGATTATATTAATAATAACAAAGTTGTGGAATTAGTTCCGATTTCTTGGTTATCAAATGATGAAAGGTCATGCTCTTGGCCACCGAAAGACCAAGAAACCAATGTTCAAGAGTGGATTAAAACAGATGTGGAACCAGGCAATAATTGGGATGTGTTTCCGGTAATAGTTATTACTAAAGCGAGTAAGTATTCAACAATTATTTTTTATTAATATTATTCTAACCTATAATTACAAACTATCGTGTTGTAATTAATTTTAAGTAAAAAGTGATATTTCTATCTCAACTCTTTCATTACAGAAAAATTTCTGTAATTTTTACTTTCCTGAACTTCTGAACTTTCCTGAACTTCCCGCCATTTTCTGCTATAAAGTAGTGTCTCGACACGGCGTAGTCAAAGTTAAACAGACTTCACCGTATTGTTAGTCTCGGCGGCGTATAAATTTCATTATTAGCAATATTTGTAATATAATTTTATATTATTTCAAAAGAATCCGGCAACTAGAAAGATCATTTAAAAAGAGAGAAGTCGAGAGCTCTGAAAGTGAATCCCACTCAGCGAGAGACAATCATCTTACGACTATGAGCTCGGCAAAAGTAGCTCTAGAGTTAGCTCATTCAAATCCTTTGAGTTCTCAAAAATCAGGCTTTCCTGCAATTGATGAGTCTTTAGAATTTATCAAAAATGAATCAGGACAAAAATGATAATGAAAAAATGCAAAATTCAACTACGCAGCAAAAAAAACTTATAGGTATTTATTTTAACTTTAATATTTGTATGTTATCTTAAATTATTAATTAAATCAAATAAAACAATTGCATATTTTCATTTTTCGATAATTGAATAACAATAACAGTAGTTATAATAATAAATGATTTAAAATTAAATTTTTAATCATTTGATTTTATTGTACGCTCTCTATTTATATTACATAAATATTATTTGTTCTGATATTCTGAACTTTTTTTTATTTTCTAGAGTTTTACGAAATTAAACGACGATTTAAAATAAAATTAGCGTGTACTCAATTCCAAAAAAAATAGTCGTTAATAATAATTCATTCTGTAATTTTCAGAAACTCTAACGAGTTATAACGACGTCGGGTTATACTTAGAGTCTGTCATTCAAAAAGAACTGGAGAGAACACGAAGAAGCATTAATTATGCAATTACTGAACACTTCAAACAAATTTTAAAAACTGTTCAGTACTCAAATGACAATCCGGACAATGATCAAGCGTGGAAGACCATCGGTGAAGGTTCGACCAACATATGGTATGGCTTGACTCGGTGTTAGTGTCTTGTGGAGTTGTTGGAGTTATAGTCTTGTTGGATTCCATAAACATGGTTAGCCAACCAAAAAACTCGAGCAAAAACTGTATAAATCCAATAAAAACCGATTAGCTCCACAAAAAAAATACTCCAGCTCAAAAACCCTAAAAAGAAATACGAAACTGCTTTAGCACCCTATAAAATCCGGTTGTATTAGCTTACCCTTATTGTAAGGAGTTTTTAAACTAAGGACCATTCAAGGACGGTCAACAAAAAGTATGTTGTAAAATCACGAACTAAAATGGAGACCCTGTGGTTAAACATATTCAATTGCTATTTCAAAAGCACGAGAACGAAGCCAAGAATGATGCTTAGAAACTTTCTACTGTATCAGTGGCACGCAGTGCGTATTAAAGCTAATAAATTCGAGAAGACAATCTATCAAACTTAAATTAATAAAAATCACTTATTCAGTGTTGCCAACATTCCTATAATCCAGACCCAACAAATCCAACAAAACTCCAACTCCAAATCATTGACACCATTTAACGGCATGTGGCCGTACTTACTTTACATAATATCTGCTGAAATAAGCCTTCTTAAAATTCCTTCTGCCATTTGGTGAGATCGACAAATTTTTAAAGTTTAAGATTCTTTAAAAAAAAGTGAAGAGAAACAAAAAGCACTGATATTTACAAATTATTTCTACATTTTTCACAAATTATTTAAATATTACATTCAAATTATTTAAATACTATATACAATTGATTAAAATACTATTTACAAATTATAAGTTTTATTTACACAATACTTGAAAATTATATTTAAATTATTTAAATTCTGTACACAAATTATTCGCATGTTATTTTTTAATTATTTACAGTTGGAAATTTTCAAAATGGTCACTGCTGGATCGACCATAATAGATGACGACGTCACCGCAATCACGGGAAAAATGGTTAAAAAAGATGTCCAACTACAACTACAGCGGGTGTAGAAAAACAATTAAAGGTGTCGGGAAAAAAGCTTTAAAGCTTTAAAGTTTAAGCTTTATTTCGTTACAGTATATTGATAATAATTTAACTGCGATTTTTATTATTTTGTTTTAGAGTTTCTGATGGCCAAACACGTTAATGCAAAGAAGAAAGTATCAACGGTGACTCTGGTGAGAAAATATTTCCAGGACTTTACCCATTTTGAAGGAATGTATAAACAAATTTCAGAACCAAATTTTTGTTTGTATAGGAACATTACAATCTTATTCAATCACTTATCGATTCAATAAAACTCTTGTTTCAAATAATTTAGAAAAACATTTTCATCAACTTTAAAACATATCATTGACCCTCAAAAGACGTACTATATTTTTCTGTATGACAAAAATCTACGTCCTATTTTCGAAAAAATTCTTTCATCTTTATTTAATACAACACTAAAAATTATTCTTTGTCAGTTTAAAGTTGAAGATATCCCAGAAATTGAATATAAATCTGAAATCTGAAATTGTTAATAATTATTTGGGATGGGATTTTAGTTATTTTACCTTTTTTCAACCGATGTAACTTGAAAACCAATAATGCCAAAATGTGTTTTAAAAGATTTTCTTTTATATGAACCTAACTTGTTTTCACCTTTTTTACCTTTTTTGGAGGTTTTTGCTTTAAACTACCTTTTTTATACTTTTGTTACCTATTTTTTTAACTTGTTTTCACCTTTTTTACCTTTTTTGGAAGTTTTTGCTTTAAACTACCTTTTTATACTTTTGTTACATATTTTTTAATTTGTCAGTTTATTTTCACCTATTTGTTATCTATTATTACGTATTTTTACTTATTTTATTTTTTTGTGTTCTTTTTAAATTTTGCCCCAATATTTTATCCAGGGCGTGCAACTCAACGGTATAAAATTTTTTCTTATGGTCACAGACTGTAACAGTAACTTTCTTTACAGTTACCTTCTTTGTAGTGAGCTTATGTTCTGTCATAGAACTTCTGTGTAGTAAGTGTCACTCAGTGAAACACAGGTTATTGCATAGAAATAGTTTATTGTTGGTATGTTCTGTATTTGGGTATGCGGCTAAACAAAATTATAAACGAAACGTGAACTTTTAATGTTTTTTTTACCTAAAATGCTGTTTTTTTAACCTAAAATGCTTTTTTTAGTACCTTTTTAGTTACCTATTTTTCAGTTTTTAGTACCTAAATATCCCATCCCTAATAATCATTAAAAACATAAATAAATTAGTGAAACTTTAAAACAGTGTTGTTTTTATTAATATATTAATGTAGTTTACTCTATTAAAGTGACAAAAAGTGGTGTGAATTTGGAATTTGCCTTAAGTATTTTGTTGTGACCGTATTACAAATAAGTGGTAAGTAAAAATTAGTATTGTACCATTTCTTGTGTTGTTTATTTTATGATAAAACCAGTTAAAGGGGTGCCGGGGTGTGGGCGGAAGACCGATCGTAATGTTTACCAAATTGATAAAACAGGAGTGTATTCAGGTTTTTTATTTTATATTTGATCTACATTACATAGATCTGAGCTCGGATCTGGAGAAATTTAATTTGTTTTTAAATTAAATGCAATTAAAACGTTCAATTAATTATTATTATTATTATGTGTATTTTATTATTATTATGAGTATTATATTTGAACGGACTTAAAAATGGATACCTAGGTGTTTTTTAATAAATTTATTATATCATATTATTTTTATACCATAATTATTTAACTAAATTTAATTTAACTATATGGTTTATACTATAATCATTTAACTAAATTTAATTTAACTATGTGGTTAATACGACGGATTAGGCTGGGTTAGGGGTGTGTTGGGTTAAAGGACAATAATATAATATATTAACTGTCATCTCATCAATATAAACAGTAATAGTCGTCACTACCGTAAACTTATGAAGCCATATGTAAATTTGGGAAATGGAAAGTCATTAGGCGAGTGAATAGAGATTTTATGGTACACTTTATGAAAAAACCAAGGAAAAACTACCAAACATCTATTGAACATAGTTATTCATACTTTTGTCTATATGTTTTATTATTTTTGAATAAAAATGCAATTTTTTATTATCAAAGAACATAAAATAGAATTTCATAAAGTTAAACAGATACGGCCATAGCTGACCCTAAAATCTAAAATTTTGAAAACAGTTCCATTTTATTTATAATTGGTAAATATCAAGGTCGATCGAGGTAAATATCGAATAAATACATTGAATTTTTACTTCAAGTTTAAGTTGTGTTAATAAAAAAGAAAATGTATTTTAAAATCAATTATTCTTTTTAGAATCATGCAACGAATAGAATATAACAGAACAAAAATTACCGAAATTCTGAAAGAACAAGAAATGGAAACAATTTTTCCAACTTATCTTATGGACCTGTTAGCCTATAATGGCTATATTACATATGAAACCATAAGTTCATTGGAAGAAAACGAAATTAAACAGCTTGAAAGCTTCGGACGGGATATTTTGCCTAAATTATTATCTAGCCAACAAGAAAAAGATTTCTTTTTTGGAATATTTTCAAAAGAAACAACTTTGTTTTATATAGTTGCTGGTGACAGAAAGACCTTAGAAATATTGAGCGAAAAATGTAAGTTACACATAAAAGGAAGAACTAAATTAGGTAACAAGTCGGACGTAAGGTCAGGCGGCTCTACCGGAATGCTAAGATCAAAAGAAAGCCGGAAAAAAAACAACATACAGATAAAATCCTTCAATAAAACGATCTTTCTTCGGATAGGAATCAGAGTAATGCAGTAGATCACATTAAAAGTGTAGTAAGGTCGTATCAATATAAATTTATCATGAATCAAGAAGAAAAAGATAGAGGAAATGCATTATCTCTTATAGACAGTACAAATGTCGAAATTAGAGACAAGATTGCATATGTAAAATGTTGCCTGTGTGATTTTAAATGTAATGCCGGTTTTCCACCAAACGGACAAAACAAAAACAAAACACAAACTCGTGTCGAATAAAACAAAACTGCAACTTTTTGCAAACTTTTTGAAGACTGGCGTGTTTTGCGACAGTTTGAGTTTTGTTTTTCGAGTCCCGCTCGAAAGCGGTAACATCAAAAGGTTTCGACGTGTTTTGAAACTCGAGTCTGTTTAGTGGAAACGGTCGTGTTGTGTTTTTTGTTTTCGACTTTTATTTTATTTTGTTAGTCTGGATACGAATTTCATACTAAATTGGTAGGTAAGTAGTAGTAGAAACATATTTTTTCCAAGTGTATAATAATATTCATATTATATTCCTCATAAGTCTATATAGAAATACTACAATTTAGTTACGAATAGATACGAATTTCATACTTAATTGGTAGGTAAGTAAGAAACATATTTTTTCCAAGTGTATAATAATACTCATATTATATTCCTCATAAGTCTATATAGAAATACTACAATGTAGTTTTTTTAAATTATGTAACCTCATTTTTAGGTTAGGTTTAACTGTCAGACCACAAAATGGCACCATTATTGTTCGGCGGTCAATAATAATTTGACTTTTGAACTAGTACAATAATGTAGTGACTACTAGTTCAAAAGTCAAATTATTATTGAACGCCGAACAATAATGGTGACATTTTGTCGTCTGACAGTTAAACCTAACCTAAAAATGAGGTTACAAAATTTCAAAAAAATATCGAAATTTAGAGCTTGAAAAAAAAAGTATATACTATACACGGCGGCGAAAGTTTATCAATTACCTCGCATACAATCTACCGCCTCGGCGATGCGCCGCGGCGCCTCGGCAGTGAAATGTGTGCTCTGCTATAATATGAGCTTTCTCCGCCTAGTCTATAATATACTATTTTATAGATAGAGGATAGAGAATTTGTTTTGTAACGCTGGATCAGTTTAATAGATACACATATAGGTAGGCCAAAAAAATTGACTATTTTTTTTTAAATATATCGAGAATGTCATTCAAAAAATTTGAGCCCTTAATATTAATTTTAAGAGGTCTATCATCGCTATTTTTGATTTTTAGTCATAATTTGATGTTTTACGTTAGAACTGTCAAAACATTGAAGTGAAAAAATTCCTTTTCACTTATTTTTATATAAAATTAAATTCTCTACAAAAAAGGTCTGATTGAAATTTTTTGTCAGACGAGCCGTGTCCGAGTAATTGAGCTTAATAAATCGATGTGTTTTTTCGATTTGCCCTTTTTACTTTGAAATTTTGTAACTAATGAATCAATGAATATTTAAAAAAGCTCACGTCGAAAATTTAATGTTCTACAAAAAAGGTCTCTTTACATTTTTGCCTAAATTTAATTCTTCAAAAGTTATTCACGAAAAAGTGTAAACCAGCCACAACTAAGAATAAGAAAATCTTTTTCTCTAAACATGTTGGTTGATACTGAAAAAGTGTGTTCTGACATAATCACGACAACTAGTGGAAAAGGACCGAAAACAAAAACAAAACTCGAACAAAACTTATTTTGCTTGATGGAAACAAGAGTTTCGGGTTTGTTTCAGTTTTGTTTTTGATTTGCAAGTTTTTAAAAACACAAACAAAACCCAAACTCAACTGTTCGTTTAGTGGAAAACCGGCATAAAGCATACACCGAAACTGACAATAACAAAAACAAATGGGTCCTATCAAACGTAAACCGACATTTTAAAACGCATTTTGAAGGTAGAAATTCAGGTGGACGAAATAAATCTTTTATCAAAAAAAGCCAGGTGTCTTCGTCTGGTCAAAAACAAATTAATTTTTTTTTTAAAAACGCGAGAAGAAACGTTTCCATTAGAACCTTCAGCCTCGATATCAGCAGTTGATGACAACCAAGGTCAGGACTCGGATGAGGTTGACGACGATATTGCTATATTGGACTTGCCAACAGAAAGCAATCATGCCTCCAATGAATCAGATCAAAATTTTGTGGAGAACAGATTCACACCTGAGGAGGCAGCTACTGAGAACCTGCCAATTACTGCAATATCCACGAAAAGTACTACTAAACAAGAGACTAAACACCAAAGTGAGTTTGAAAATGAGACCTTGGACGAAAATGATTCAGAAAATGGAGCTTTTGAAGCAACCACAGAAAGCACCGTAGATTTCTCGGTAGATTTGTTTACCGAAAAATATTATGCTGTTTGTTATCCTGGATTGTGGTACATTGGCAGAATAACCAAAATTGACGGTAGCACCTGTAAAATTAAATTTCTCAAATCAGTACTAGATACATATGTTTGGCCAAAAGAAAATAATGAAGACATAGATACTGTAGATAATAAATTTATATTTTATGGTCCAATATCATTGTTAGGTTATGAGCCTTTTTATTTAAAGAGACACCAAAAGTTACAAATTGAAAAACAATATAAAAAAGTGAAAAAAAATTTGAAAGAATATTTTTAAATTACTTTACGTTACACTTACGGCGTACCTAGTATAAAAAGTATTTTTGTTTTTAAGGAGTTTTTCTTTGACACCTACTCTTATGAATGTTTTATAATAAAACAATTAATATTTTTGGTTTTTTTGATAGCTAATCACCTGGGCGTGCCCAGTTAAAATAAGTTTGTTCCTATATTATTTCAGAAATAAAGTATTTTTTTACTTATAAAATAAATAAATAATAGTAATTTATAATTTATACCTTGTACCTTGAAAACAAGTTTTTCGTCCCAAGAATTTTTAAGGTAAGGATGGAATTGTTTTGGTTTATTTTAATATTATTTTGGCACTATAAAACATTGTTAAATTATTCCACACTCCTGTGGAAAATGTCACTTTCAACGTTCGTTATTTAATATACTTTCGAATATACTAATATAATGAAAGGAATGTTTTAAAAAAGTATGTAATTAGATAATAAGGTTTTTTAGTAAGCTTAAAATATTTAATACGTTTCGAGGTATTTTTAGACTTAATAATAATTTAGTGAAGTTGGTCGAAATCCCTACTCACTGACGATCGAAATCGCCGAAATCTCCCGAAATCCTTCGAAATCCTCCGAGATCTCCCGAAATCCTTCAAAATCATTCGAAATCCTCCGAAATCATTCGAAATCCTCCGAAATCATTCGAAATCGCTCGAAATCCGAAATCTTGTCACATTTTCCCCCTAGTGAATAACCCCTCGTAATTATCACAATGCTAATCATAACGGAATCAACGAAACGTATGAACATTTGCGTAGAAAATATTATTGGCCAAATATGAAAAATTTAATAACTTCAATTATAAATAAATGCCAAATCCTATTAAAACACCATTTAAAGGTCCTTTACTTCCTTCTCTCCCTTTTAAGATACTTCAAATTGATATATTTAGCTATTCGAAATTTTTGACGATAATATACCCTTTCACAAAATACCTATGCCTATCACGTAGACAATACAATTCATTAATATTGGAACCAATAAAATGCCAGTATTCCATAGTGACGTATTTTATCACAGCGGCAATAATTTATCAATTTATCATCTTGTTTACACGTTACTAAGCATTTTGACACTTTTTTGATTTAACATCTGTTGTCATTTAAATTCTGTATTTGATATATATCAATAAAATAATGAATTATAAACTCTAAAAGATCGATGGGTTGGTGTAAACGATAATGAAATTAAGGTAAGTTTGAATAAATAAGGTTTATTAAAGTCTTTTTATATTTTAAAGCACATTTTAATTTTAAATGTCAATCTGACAAATTTTTAAATTCCTAAAATTCATTGTATTTTCTCACTAAATATAACTTGTGGTATGATTAATAATCGAAGATATTTACTTATTGAAACCGAAGCAGCACATTTCACTCGTCCTGCGGACTCGTGAAATCTGCAGCTCGGTTTCAATTCGAAAATATCATCGATGATAATCATACCACTTGTTATATTATGGGTGAAAATACAACTTCACTCCACATTCTCTCCAAATTAAGAAAATATTTTTCACACCACAATTTTCCCAAAAACATTGTTTTTGATCAAGGTCCCGAGTCCAAAAATAGAGTAGTTAACGAATTTTTCAATCTCCATAAGATTAACATTCACTATACATCCAGATCTAACTCTTCATCCAACTCACCTGTCGAACGTCTACATTCTACCATAATTGAAAAATTACGTGTTTTAGAACCCTCTGAAACAAATATTATAGAACGTATGATATCTGCCATTACTATTTACAACCAATCCAGCCACAGGTTTCTCTCCATTTTCCCTAATCTACGGACATTTTCTTTGATGATATAAAAAATAAGTTAAAACAATAAGAGAAAACTATATACAAAACAAAACTTCGAATCGGGATACTCCGGTTATTGTGGAAGAAGTCGGCAAAGAATCAATCTGCGAATTCTGCCAATTTTGTTTCATGTTATTCCATTCTGCCTTCCCAAAGGCATTCCTGGATTGGGTTATTATCCTTCCGATCCACATTGACAAAGAACGAGTGGATCAGGTTTAATTTGCGAACTTGGTTTATGCATTTGCTGTAGTCGCTGCCGTTCGACTCTGTATCATTTCTCCTTGACCGTACTTGTACTGGGTTTCATTTTGCGTTTTATGGTAATATAAAGATTCATATTCAATTGCTGTTTGATAAATTTGCCTTTTTCTATTTGACATTTATTCTGTCAGAGTGACTGCTTCAATTAATTTATGATGACTAAAGATTTAAAGACTTTGATTAAACGAAGGGGTATAATTAAGGGTTGTATTACCAGATTTGGTACCTTTTTCTGATGAAACAACCAATGCTGAAATTGAAGCTAGGCTAAGTAAATTAACTGCTAATTTTGATGAATTTGGAATAATTCAAAACCAAATTAAAATATTGCGTGATGATGAAGATCCTAGCGAACGTATCGAGGTTGAAAACCATTACTTCGGTTTAGTTGGTGCTGTAAAGAGACGCTTAAGATCATCTATTAAAGATGATTCTCCTTCCTGTTCCTCGTTTAACCATTCTTACTCTGAGATTAACATTAAATTGCCACAAATAAATTTACCAGAGTTTTCAGGCAATTATGATGACTGGATTCAGTTTTATGATAAGGCACTTATACACTCAAATACGCAGCTTACAAATATCCAAAAGTTTTACTATCTTAAGTCGGCACTAAAGGGTGATGCTGCCTGTGTTATTCATTCATTAAAGGTTTCAAATGAAAATTATTTTATTGCGTGGGGTTTGTTAAAGGACAGGTTTGAAAATAATAAATTAATTGTTAATTTGCATATTAAAAAGATTTTTGATTTGCCAAAGCTTTACAAAGAGTCCCATGTTCTCTGCAAACTACAGATGCTTAATGTCACTTAAACAGCCTGTAAATCATTGGGATACCATTTTGGTGTATCTTCTTACTTTTAAGTTAAATTTAGAGACACGAAAAGAATGGAAATGCTCACAGGGTACATCTATTCCAACTTTGGATGATTTACTTAAGTTTTTAACAAATAAGTATGAAACTTTGGAAAATTTGGAAGTAAAAGAGGTTAAATCATCTGCTACCAAATCATACACATATTTGTCCGAAGAAAATACTGTAGTTTCTGCATTAAAGTGCCAAAATTGTAATGGCTTGCATGTAATATTTTATTGCAGACAATTCTTGGCTCTGAAACCCTTTGATCGGTATACCAGGATCAAGGAATTAAATTTGTGCACTAATTGTCTTAAGCCAGGACATTCATGCAGCAATTGCGCTTCCGGTCCTTGCAAAAAAAGCACAACAGTGTATTACATTTTCAAAATGTTACAAATAAAAATCAAAACTCGCAAAATAAAAGCCAAAATGCTTTGCCTATATATATAAAAATATTGCCAATTCAATAAATAATGAGGAGTGCAGCATAAATACGCACTGTACATACCCGATAAAATCATTAATAATGCTTCAAACAGCCCAAATATATCTTTATAGTTCAACTGGAGAGAAAGTTAGTTGCAGAGCGCTCTTAGATTCAGGGTCACATCTCCATAGATTTTTGTAAAACATTTAATATATAAAAATCCAAAATAGATGTTCCAATTACAGAAATTAATCAATCGCATAATGTTGTTTCTCATATTACAAATGCCAAACTTGAATCTCTTCACAATTCATATAAAAATAAATTATCTTTCTTAGTCATTGAAAATACCACACGAAATATTCCAAGTCAAACATTTGATAAATCATATGTTAATTAGGGATCGACCGATATGGATTTTTTGGCCGATACCGATTATCGGCCGATACCGATACATCGATGACTTTTTGCCAAAGTATTGCAAGTAACATAACCCAAATTTCGGAAATTGAAAACATTTTGCTTGTCTGTTTTAAATTAAATATAGTCTAAAGGTTTTATAATAAGTAATTACTTAGCTTATAATTATAGCTATTTACTTGTTATAAAACCTGTAGGTTATATTTTGTTTAAAACAGACTTTAAAACAAAAATGTTTTCAATTCCCGAAATTTGAGTTATGTTGCTTGCGATACTTTGGCAGAAAGTCATCGATATGCGATATCTATATTGGCCGATACCGATATATCGGCCTCATCTTTATTTTTTAATTATTATTTATTTTTGATTTTTTCGTAAAATACTTTGCAAAAAAATTAATGACTGAATGTGCCCTAGAAAATTTCGGTAGGCCTTTGAATTAACCAATAAGGACCGTGCGCTGTCCACCACGTGATTATCGCGTGGAAACGGGCCATGCGCTTGTCAAACGGCTGTTTTGTTTGTTGTTCTCATAGACAAAGTTCTTTGTTTTTCGATACGTGAATTAAGTTGAATGTCATGTCCAACCAAAATAAAAGCATTTTCTGGAAATACTTCAGCAAGAATAATACATATCCAGCCGAAAAATATCGAAAGCGACATGCACTTTATGCACGGCTTCTGTTTCACTGGCAGGCTGTGGAAAAAGCGCCAATACGACCAGGGCCAGATTTAGCGTGGGGCCAGCGGGGCCACGGCCCCAGGGCCCCCACCATTTAGGGGCCCCCACCAATGTAATATATAGCTTTTTAATGAAACGAATATGATAAAATTGTCGAAAAAACAAAAAATTGGATCGGTTATACCGCGCGAATCCTGTAATTTTCAATTAATTTTTCGTAGATCTAACTCTAATTTTTCGCGGATTTTTTATCGCTTATCCGCCTGATCAGAATGTAAATTATCACACTCAAAGTTTTGGCGCGCGAAGACGTTTTTATATAGTCTATAGTCATAAGTTATGACTCATAACAATTTTAAGCAGTTGCTCCTTTAGTGCTTGTCGTAACGTTTTTGTAAATACAGGCAAACAGTCAATTACTTATAATCTAATATTAAAGTTAGTTAGTGTTTTGGAATATTTTCCGGTGTTTCCGAAATACTGTTTCGTGCTTTTCTTTGGACAAAAGATAGTTTTATTTTTTGATTTTGTATGAAAAACAGACAAATAATACGACTTTTGATGCACTTTTTTTCAGTTTGCGGTAAGTATTAAAAATACAAACGAAATATAGATCAATTTATATTTTACTTGATTACAATATGTACAGGGTCCGGCAACAGAATTGAACGGTTTTAAAAATGCTGCTATGGAAATACTATTGATTTGATATGTCAAATAGTGACAGACTTGTACCTTATTGCCGAAAGTTTCGTGGCTGCTATGGAAATAATACATATTGATTTGATATATGTCAAATAAAGAAACAATTGTTCCTTATTGCCGAAAGTTTCGTGTACAATGGCAATTAAAAGGCTAGTGTAAGTTAACAAAGAATATATTTGGACTAAATGTAGTTAAAACTAAGAGTACAATTCTGGAAGTGAATCATAATTTTTTCAACTTGCAAAGATCACATCCCTAAGATGACCACCGTCTTCTTCTATGCATTGCTGCAATCTGTTCCTGAAAGCGAGGAGTAGATCTTCGTTTATGGAATCAATCTCTTCCCGAATCCTCTCTTTTAGTTCAAGAATTGTTTGCGGATGAGTAGAGTATACTTTTGACTTAAGGAATCCCCACAGAAAAAAATCTGGAATCGTTAAGTCAGGCGATCGTGCGGGCCAAGCAATGTCGCCAAACCTTGAAATTAAACGACCCGGAAAAATACGCTGTAGAACACCAATGCTCTGTCTAGCTGTGTGAGCTGTAGGTCCATCTTGTTGAAACCATACTTCATCTTGGTCTATTCTTTGGAGCTCCGCAGATACAAATGTTTCCAGCATCTCAACGTACCGAGCTGAATTGACTGTAACTGCGCGGTTGTTTTCTTCAAAGAAGTATGGCCCGATTACACCAAAAGTAGACACTCCACACCACACTGTTACTTTTTGGTCATGAAGTACTCCCTCATGAATTTCTCTTGGGTTGTGTTCGGCCCAATAGCGAAAGTTTTGCTTGTTGACGTACCCGCTGAGATGGAAGTGAGCTTCGTCAGACATGATCAGTTTATTAAGGATTTCTGCATTGTTGTTGATTGTCTCTAAAAATTGTGTGCAGAAATTGAGTCGATTGACTTTATCAATGGGATTTAGCCTCTGAACTGTCTGTATCTTGTACGGATGAGAGGAAATTCCTCTCATCAAAATATAAAAAAAAGTTCCTATAAACACGTGTCCAAAAATGCTTCATTACCGAGATACAGGGTTTTTCGTTAAAAAAAATGAGTTTTTTATTTATAGTTTAAAAAGGCCTTGGCCGATTTTTTTCAAATTTATATAATTTAATAAATAATAAATGATTTAAGGATAATAAAAAAATCACGTAAAGTTCCTCTAGCTTAAAAAATTTACCATGAGCTTTAATTTCCCAAGTGTCAAGAATTTTAGAAATATTAAGGGCCCCCACCAAATTCGGCCGCAGGACCTCAAAACTCTTAATCCGGCCCTGAATACGACCAATTGGAAGTATCATCTTCAGCACTTTCATACAGGTGAATATAAGTCTCTTGTTAAAGGTGAGTACTCATTAGTACTCATTGAGTATTAATAAAATAAATAATCTTTATTCATGTTATATATACTTACAAAGTTGTATTTACACAGGTTAATATTAATAATTCATTACAAATTAGGTATGATCTCGCCACTGGATATCGCCGCCGCGTGAAATGACGCCGTTGAATTTTTCATGCGGCGGCGATATCCAGTGGCCACCAAGATCATGCAACTTTTTTTTGTGGGGCTACGTAAAGTCCCTTGTGTACGTGAGTAAGCCACGAACAATTGAAGCACTGAAGGCCAACATAACTCGTATAATATGTAAATGAAATCGAACCCGAAATGTGCGAAAAAGTGATAGAAAATTGGACCTGCAGAATGCGCGCTGTGGAGCGCAGCTGCGGGGGGCATTTGAAAGATGTTATTTTTCATAATGAATGCCATAGGATGTTCTTTTAAATAAATAAATTTTTTTCCTAATATCTTAAGTGTAGTTGGTTTTATTTCATTTTAAACTTAGAGCGCTCTTAATTGGACACCCTTTATAATACATTTATTATTTTTGCCAACTTATTTTGTAATGAATTACACTGGTCAATAGCCATTTTGGTGCACCTTTAATAGGGTAGTTTTCAAAAATGACCATCATTTTGCTCAATCAGCTTTTGTTTTTGCAATGTTGACAAAAAACCGGGTATTTTTCGATATTCACACATTCAAATTCTATATATATTTATATATATAATATATACAGCTTGTTCATACTAAAACCGAATATATATATATATATGGGGCGTGGCCTCGCCTCCCTCCAACGCGCGACACAGTAGCTAAGCAAATAGACTGCATCGCTAATGAGATTTTTTGCATTATTATCATTTAATTTTTTAAGTCCTTACCTGCTCGACCTTTCGTTATGTCGTTTATCACACAAGCAACTGTGACGCGCCTTGGAGGGAGGCGAGGCCACGCCCCATATATATATATATATAGATATATTCGGTTTTAGTATGAACAAGCTGTATATAAATTTGACAAATTTGCACAGTGGCATACATTTTTTAAATGAAAGAACAAATTTGCACAGTGGCATAAATTTTAAAAATGGTAGGACAAATTCGCACAGTACTTCAAACTTAAAAAATGTAGGAAGAATTCGCACAATAGAAAGACAAAATGACAGGATAAATTTTCAAAACTTTCTAAAATTTACAAAAAGTTTTAAAATGATCTACAAATTTTTAAAATTTACGAAATTTACAGAATTTCCCAAAATTACGAAAGGGAATATATATATATATATATATATATATATATATATATATATATATATATATATATATATATATATATATATATATATATATATATATATATATATATATATTATATATGTATATATACAACATCATAAGAAGTGTAGCTTCTGTGTCCACACCATTATAATTATTTATTATCACATTTACAACCCAATGGGGTAGTTAATTTTTTTCTGCCGTATACTTTTTATGGTTTTATTGGATGCGTTTTCTAATTTTAAACATTTTTGTGAAATCACAATTTTAATTGCGTTTACCGTTTTCGAGATATTTACAAAAAAAATATTTCGTTGTTACGTCATAATAATTCTCAAATTATGCTCAATCATGTGACCAGCATTCTAAGATTTCTATTGGTTAAAAATTACCCTGTTGCCAAGTTGTCCAGTTTATAATTCTATTCATCTTATGTCATAAAATACCTGACAAGGTTATATACAAAGACTGTCACTTTTGACGTGTGCCAGAAAATATCCGAGGAGGTTATGTACAAAGACTGTCACTTAAATTTTTACATCAAGGACCAGAATATTAACATGGCGCAATATATCTTTATAATCTAAAATTAAACATTCCAAAAAGAAATATAAATACCGGCAACGTTTTTACGAGCGTAATGACGAAATTTTTGTTTGTTAATATCTCGAAAACGGTAAACGCAATTAAAATTCTGATTTCACAAAAATGTTACAAATTACATAACGCTTCCAATAAAAAGTATAGGAAAAAATTTAACAACCCCATTGATCACGTTAAAAGATTTGCTCTAATCTAAGATTAGTAATCTTATTGGTACCGATTGCAGCTGCACCAAAGACCCAAGAAGCATGCCCTTCAGAGAGAAATCAACCATCGACTTCGTCCGTTAAACCAACAATAACAAACTGCTTCAAGAAACTACGAGGGTGGGACATTAATTCCTCATCAGCTCAAGATTATCACTATCGAATTGGTAAAATGATTGCCGTTGACAACCAACCGTTCAGTAGCCTCAACGTCTCCACAGAGATAGTAAGGTGCAACTCTCTAAACGCAAACAAAAAGAGAAAAAACATAGATACCTCATTTGGTAGTAACGAGGGGTACAAGATCAAAGAAAGCTCAGAGGTCTTCGTTCTTAGAGAAGCCTTAGGGGAAATAACCAGGTTAGGAAAAACACTGAGCGAGCACATGAAGCAGAACACAAAGCGGAAAGTCAGGGACGTATCTGTAAGACTGAATAGACAGGTGGAGATCATAAACAGAAGGATTGTACAGAGCTGGCTAGAGAATCACAGGTATGAAAGATATGAAAAAATGATGATAGACGCGGACATACAAATCGAAAACATGGACGAGCAAGAAAACGGGAAGATTATGATTGAATAAATAGACTCCTTTGATGCCTACGCAGCAGTACAGGAGGCCAGATGGAAGGAATATAAATACTCGCAAACTAGGGTGGGAAACCCGGTAGCCACAAAAGTGGTATTTGTTGAGCAATCCGACCCAAACATGGAGAGGGGGATCCAAAGACTATTTAAGGAGCGCTGTCCGGAGCTGATGAGCGAAAATCAATTTGATGTCGTAGAACAGCGCATCTACACACGCACAGGAGGCACGGAAAAGGAGTCCAGAAAAAAAATTATCAAAGCGTGGCACAATGGCACGGAGGAAGACTTGTGGAATAACCTGTTAAAAATCAGGGAGGAAACAAAGAACGATAGGTAGGTGGCAGTTAGGGTTCGCAATCTCGAAGAGAAAATTTAATCCCGGGATTATGATATCGATATTTAACAATACCGGGAATACCGGGATTTCGAGATTGATATTAAAAAATAAAAGAATACAAAGCATAGTTATTAATTTTATTAATAAAAGAAAATTTACACCAAAAAATATGTCTAGGTGTTCAGCGGCTAAACCAATACCGCAGAAAAATGAGTTCATTAAGGGTATTATCCCCAAGTCGGGATCTAATTTTTGTACCTATAGGGTTTCTGCTGCCGAAACGCCCTTTCCAACTCCACACTAGTGGGGACATTAAGAAATCATATTTCAGCTTGAGGAATGCATCCCTGCTTCCGCCATTTTCAAAAAGCGACATTTCTTTTTTTAGAGTTGATGTTACCGAATCGGTTTGCGGGTGTATTTTTATTGGGTTCATTGTGTTTTTTGTCAATGATTTAAAAAATTGTTAGTTTCAATTTGAGGCTGGAGTAGTAGCATGGCTGAAAGATAAATTTTATCCTCGTCATTGTCTTCTTAAAAAGAAACATTTAGTTTTTTTTGTAAACGTTTTATAAGTTTTTTAAGCATTTCCCTAATATTTTTTTGTTTATAATATGGAACAGAGCATCTGATTCTTTATAATTGGGATTGTGCAAATAGCGGATAATACATGAGCAATAAGTTTTGCGCTGAGCAATCCTTACCCTTATGGCTTCATATAAGTTGCCACTTAGGGAAGTGTTCAACATAAATTTAAATACTAAAAATACCGGGATCATGATTTGTGATCCCGGTATTTTCGGTATTGAAAAACAGACGAGATCCCGGTATTTTCGGTTTTGTGATTTCGGGATTGCGAACCCTAGTGGCAGTGCACACGTTAAAAAGCGTGCGAACGGAGAAAGTAAGGAGAATCATAGAATGCATATTCCACGGAAGAAACACGAAGGTTGATATCTATAGGCAAAAGGAAGATAGCAAGGAAAGCGAGGGGAAAAGTCTCACTTACGCCCTTGTGCTGGAAAACGCAGGGAAGTCCTATGAAGACACCCTAAATGAAGTAAAGGAGGCAGTAGGTAGTAACCCTGCCAGTAACCTGATTAGGAATATACGTAGTACCAGGGAGGGCAAGATGGTCATCACGCTGGACAAGGACAAAGGGGCCATGGAAGAATTACAGAAGGCGTTAAAACACAGGACTGAAATGAGGGTTAGAGCGCCTGGACAGAAGCGCAAGGGGATGGTATTTATTAGAGGCATAGACGGCACAACAGATAAGGCCGAGGTGGAGAAAGCAATAAAGGATAGGGTAGAATCGATGGGGGAAAAAAACTGGAACCTGAGCGAACTCAGACCAAGCTTTGGCTACAACCAAACGGCCACGGTATCCGCGGACAGGGAGGTCATAAAATTGCTGGCGGAAACGAGGCACATCAGGATAGGTATGGTCAGGTGTGAGATTGTCAAGATGGTGGAGCTGATTCGCTGCTATAAGTGTTGGGCTTACGACCATCGAGCGGCCGATTACAAGGGTCCGGATCGGTCAAAACTTTGCCACAAGTGCGGAAGGGAGGGCCAAAAACTTAGGAACTGCCCTAACAAGGAAGCATGCCTGCTGTGCAGTAAGGAGGACAAAACTGGCACTAGCAAATGCCCTGCATTTAACAAGGCCATAAGGAGTGCCAGAGAGGCAGAAAAGCTAAACTCAGTCGAATCATAACGGAGCTAAAATTCCTTTAACTGAATTTTGGGAGAAGGAAAGCTGCGCACGACATTATTGAGCAGCAGGTACGCGAAGAAGGAATAGAGGTGATAATGGGGCAGGAACCCAATAAGAAAACTGTTATAAACGAATACTGTGATAATAACTGTGGTAGCTTTATTAGTGTAAGGGGCAACTTGGGTGTGTTGAATGTATATAGTCGAGAGGGAGTTGTTGGTGTGGAGCTAAAGGACGTGTGGGTATACTCATGTTACTTCTCACCGAACGGAGACATAACAGAATTTGAGAACCTACTGGAAGACTTGGGCAGTCATATAAGAAGACAAAAGGGAAAGGGAAAAATCATTGTAGGGGACTTAAACGCCAAGATCGCAATGATTGGAGACCAAAATCTCAACGAGAGGGGTAGACTCCTAGAAGATTGGCTCATGTCCCAAGACCTGGTCATAGCAAACGCAGGAAACAAGCCAACGTTCGTAGGAAGAGGTGGGTCGTCAGGTGGTGACAAGCCAGGATACGGTCAGGTACCTGGGTATACAACTGGGCAGGAATATGATAATGACCCAGCATGTGAAAAAAACCTGCGAAGAGGCCGCGGAAATGACAAGAGTGCTGAGTAGAGTTAGGCCAAGCACCTTCGACCTTCGGACTAAGGAGCAGCAGGAGGAGGGTGTTGTCTTCCTCAGTGATTTCTGCTATGCTGTACGGTGCCAGCCAATGGCAGAGGCGCTAAACCATCGGAGGTACTTGGATATGATGAACAGGGTAAGCCGGAGGCTCGCCATTGGCATTCAGGACAGTGGCAACAGCGGCGGTGCAGGTGGTGGCAGGTCTTCCACCGATGGACCTATTGGCAAAGGAAAGGGCCCATATCGAGGAAAATGGGCCGGACTCGAGGGAAAGGGCAAGAGAGGTCACCCTGAGGGAGTGGCAGGCAAGATGGGACAGATACGAGGGGTGGGCCAAGACATTAATCAAGGATATCGGCGCCTGGCGTGGTAGCAAGGGGAGGGACGTGGACCACCACGTGGCGCAGGCCATCACGGGGCACGGATCCTTCTCGGTCTACCTATTTAAGATAAGGTAGAAAAACAGCACGAAGTGCAGGTACTGCGAGGATAAGCATGACCCGAATCACACCTTCTTTGAATGCGTGAGATTTGAATCGCTCAGAGAAAGGGCGGCTGAACGGTGCGATGTCGTAAACATCACCAGAGACTCGGTGGGGGACGTGATGCTGAGGAGGGAAGAAAACTGGGCTGCAGTGACGGATTGGTTGAGGGCGGTGATGAAAGCCAAATGCCAGGAGGAAACAGACACCATGTAAATTGGCTTGAGGAAGAAAACAACGGCCAAAGATGCGCCTTTGTGTTGGCATGCAGGCATTTTCCTGGGTCCCATACAGGGGAAGCAATCGCTAAACTACTGACTGATTTATTGTTACAGTGGGATCTACAAAACTTCTCTGCTCCAAGTCAAAGGTATTACTTAAAACTTTAACCATACCAAAGCTCGAATTGTGTGGAGCTTTATTATTAGCTCCTTTGGTTAAAACTATCTACACTCACAGAACCTTCAACAACTTCACAACCAACTTTCATTTTTGAATCAGAGCCGAATTAAGAAATCTCTGATATTAGTACATGTACATGAACAAAACGATGCAACTGCGGACGTAAGTACTCCAATCCAGAGTGACACTAGTAGTAATGAGGACGATTGAAAATGCTTTTACTTCATGCAGCTGACACAGACAAATTTAAATCTAGTATCTTACCTAATATTGAAGGTTTAGAAGAGTATAATGAATTATTTATTAGATTTAATAATTCCAAATATACATTACCATACAGACTGTCAGGTCAATTTTAGTAATGATATATCATTGAGAAAGAAAACATCTGGCGTTGTCATCGAGAATATCACAAAATAGTGTTTAATGAAATTGGCAGCATCATCGAAGAGGATGAAATTAAAAAAGGATTAATAAATTTACATGAACAGTACATGGATCCATTGAAATTTATTTAAAAAAAAATTCCGTTGAAATGAACGCCACCATTTTCACAGCACACCACCTTGAAGAAAAAATTATAAAAATATATTCTAAAAACATGATAATAAATATTTACAAGCCATATATGATACAGTACTTAAAAACTTGTAAAAACAAATAAAATATTTTACGAAAATCTGCATTGATTTTGAGAAAACTTATACTCGGAGTAAAAAAAAATAAATTACCCTCTAAAAATATTTCAGCACAGCATTTAATATCAGGAGAAGTCTCGATACCACAACCATTATTGGACTTTTACTATACTCTTCTTGATGGGTGTAAGTTCTCGTCAAGTGCGTTCTTATTGTAAAGATATAATCTTTGGAATCCATAATGGCCATGTGAAGACGTCAAAGCACATAATGTTAGGTATGACGACTTTGAAGAGCTTAACAAGCAGCAGAAAAATTATTGACATAATCAATAGATATGGACACTGCATTAGTAATCGAAGTCGAAGAACTTAAAACAGAAACTACATTTATCTCAATTGAAAAGTCTACCTTGTGCCCAGAAAAAATAAAAAAAAACTGATCTCTTTACTGGTGTGGAATATGATAATTTTGACAGTTTTGTGGAAACTACTAATGGTAAGGTTACTTTACACGACACGGTAGGAATCATTTATCAGAATGTAGAGTCAAATACAACTGAAGAATCCGAAATGTCCGATGCTCCGACTTCAAATAATGAAATTCGCCAAGTAGAAATAAAAGAAGAAGAACCTTTGATTCCGTATCCTAAAAAACCGAAAGTGAGCTGCAGTCAACGGCTGATGAAGTGGAAGCTATTAAATCGATTAACTCCCAAAAATACACTCTACTAGATAGTATATGGATGGTTAGTCATGCTCTAGAATTATCTGATGTACCTGATGTGAGTTGGATTCAATAGTCGGATTTATGATCGTGATTGTTTACAACAAATTATTTCTTATTTGACTCCAATCAACGCGTCACCAACCAGTACATCCATAGTTTTAGAAACTATGATACAAAGTCAAAAAATAGCAACCTGTATGTAAGGTTACGTACGATCTTGCAATAGCCAAAGTTGCTTTTCAAATACAAACTACGAAAAAAACTAAATTTGATAATTTATTTATCCATTTAGGGCCGTTCCATATATTGATGGCTTACTTTAAAGCCATTGGCAAAGATATTAGTGACTTTGGATTAAGCAATGCCATGGTTGAGAGTAATTTGTTGGCTAATGGTTCGGTGAATGGGTTTTTGGAGGGAAAACATTTTAACCGCTGCAAAAGGTCGTTGGTAGTATTGGGACATGACATTTTTCATTTTAAATCTTTCTTACAAAATAACAATGTAAATTTAACAGATGATTGTAGAAGAAGTTAAACGACTACAAAACTCTGACATGTCATCTTTAGCATTGAAAATTAAGATTTAAAAGGGTTGATGAATATATATGGAATTTATAAACACCAAAGTCTTTAATCTAAGCGGTTAAATACTTCTCAAGGGAGGAGGCGTTAACCTTTGACTTAAGTCGGAAACTTGGCTATTTGAAAGGTCGGGAACAAACAAGGTGGGAATTTTACTAGACATTGGGCGGAGTTTCCGCCATTGTCGCCAACTTCCAGATATACTATAATTTACTAGATTTGATAATTGTGGATCGCTCTTACGGATGTTTTGAAAGTAATAAGGGTTGCCTAATGATTGAATCCATTATTTTTATATCTGGTTATTAATTCGTATTAACTGCGTTTGATTTTATTGGGCATTCCTTTGGTGCAAACCATCCTTATGAGCTTCATCCATCTAGACTTAATTTACGTTGGCTGATCGAGACTTATCTTTTAATAAGCAGCCACACTTTCATATTTACAATACAATTTACCTAATCTTACTTCTAGTCTATAATCTCCTATTTCTAATCTATAATCTCTATTTTTCTTAGTTTAGTTTTCAACTGAATCAATTCGTTACTTTTTTTAATTATATTAATTTTATTATATTTTTGACGCGTTTCATTTACTTCTTAAAATTCTTCGTTTAAAGAACGTGTTGTTGCCATATGTTTGGCGGCTTTGGCAAAATAAAGATAGCATGCTTTATGGATTTATGGCTTTATGGCCTCTATTTGAATTTTATTTAAACACGACCCTATAAATTTGTTTTTGACGTTACATTTGAAATATTCTTTTCAAAATTACTTATTTCGCACATGTTGAAGATTTCTAATTCTTTCTAAGAAGCTCTTAATTTCCGGTCTTTCCAAGAATTATTTTAACGGTTTTTTCAACTTTCTCCCTGTTACAGGAGAAGGCATGGAGAGAAATCGAGGCGAAAATGGACGAAGAACGTAAGTACACTTTTCTTTATATAAAAAATTAAACAAAAGACTTAAAGAAAAATACATAGATACATACGTAGATTAAATTTTTTATTTTGTCATGCAACGGCACCATGCGCAGAACAAAGGTAGTCTATAAATTTTTCTTTTACTTGTAAAAAAAAGCCTCAAAAAAGTTTCCGTTGAAAGTTCCTAAAAATGGGCGTTCCTTTTTCATTTTTTTCCGACTCTAGACAACTAAAATATAGATCATCATCTCGTAGAAAAATATGCAAACATATGCTCGCCAAAACTATGTTATCTGCCTTATCGTGTTAAACCTGCATTTTATTTAAAAAATATTCGAAGTTGGAATACTATTTTCCACTACGCGTCGTGCTTTTGAAAGTCTATAATAAATATTTTCATTTTTTAGGATAAATTTGTACCACCATAAGGTTTTAACAAATACCGCTTAGCAGGAAAAGCCTCGTCTCCAACAATAATGTGAGGTAACGCGTCGCCATTTTCTTGTAATGGACGATCGGGAGGCAAACCGTATAGTCTGTTAATGCCTTGCCTATAGTGGAATTTGAGAAGACGCCTCCATCGGAATTTTTCCCATAACTACCCACATTCACTGCTCTAAATTTGTAATTAGGATTCACTAATGCTAATAATACTATGGAAAAGGTTCATTTATAATTAAAAAATTAAGATCCGCTATATATCGGTGCCTCAATATGCATATGTTTGCCGTCATTGGCAGCGACGCAATTGGGAAATTTGCTCATACTGTTCTGCCCTTTTCTTTAGTTGCTTTTGGTTTGGTTTGGGCAACATGATTGCAAGCATAGTTTCGCAAATGCTTATACTTGTAGAATACACAATTTATTGCACTGTCGAGTGCCCCAATCGAAAGTTGAACGCCAAGGTTTGAAAATCACATCTTGTGGCCAAATATCTGAAAAAAAATCTGTTTATAAATTGGTTTTGTAGCATTAACGTGTAACAGCTGAAGACTGCTTCATGCGATCCCTGAATTCACAAAACAAAAGTAAAAGTGGGCAAAATTTTGATGCAATGATGTTTTTGAGACCATTTGTTAAAGGGCAAGAGTAAGTATGCCGTCACAATCCATTGTTATCGTATGCGAAACAATTTAACATTTTAGAACCAAATCAAATATAGAGTATGTTTCTGAGGTATTGCCTGATGAAGACGAAGATTATCAAAGTGGTACATTGCTGCACCAGTTTACGGCTCTCGGCATTTTGTTCTTCTTTAACAAACTATCAAAATTATACCTCCCAAGAAATCTCAGAATCATTTTTAACTACTGACATGCACAACCAGATGCCTGAAAACAGCACTTAAAAAAGACTAAAAATATTCATGCTACTATTGCGTTAATTTAGAAGCTATTATTAATATTGCGTTAATTTAGAATCGACTTTATACTTATGCATTTTTAATTAAAAGTTTTTTTTAATAAATTACATTTTATTTTAAAAAAAATTGTTCCACACCCTCTTAATTTTAGCCATATCATCTACAATTCTTTATGGATTTTTAGTATTTAATAGCCTTATCATGAAAAAGATCATAAACAAATTATAAAATAAATTTAATAAAAGTTTTACACATTAAAAGTTATCTTTATCGTTATCTTCAGTGAAAAAATAATGTTTGATACTTAGTTGCTACCCACTCTATATCAGGCCTGATATTTTTCTTATGAAATTATGTTCTGGAGTTAAATTTTATAATTTTAAAGTATATTTTTTATAATATATGTATTGTGTCTAAAAATATACAACAAAAAATCGAATATATATTTTTTTAATATAAAAGATTTAATTAAAATTCCAAAATAGGTTTTTTTAGTTATTAGACTAAGCTTAACAAAAATTTTTAATGGATTCGACTATAAAATCATGAATTTGCCATTTTCCCTGTATATTTAGAAAAAAATATTTTTTCCACAATAAATACTTTGAAGTAAAAGTAAAAAGAGAAAGCTATTAACTACTAAAAAACTTTTTAAAATTAATTAAGAATTGTAAATAATATAACCAATTTAAAAAGACCGACATTTTGGGGTGGCACGATCTTTTTGTTGATTAGTTTAATTTAAAAAGTAAAATGGTATACCTACTTACCTTATAAAAACAGTTAGTCTTTCTCGAGGGCCAATGCAACTTCTCCAACGCGTATTTTTTTGGTTAATGCAGGCTGCAGCATTTGTAAAAGGTAATTGAACTTTTGCGGTGTCATCCTCATGTATTTGTAAAACTTTTTCACATCGTCTTCAAGACGTTTTTACAAGGTGTGGAGTTCTCCCTCATCTAATCTGTATTTACGGATATCATGGGCCTTTCTTTTCTTTTTTTTCGTGTTTGTACAATAATGTCACAACTAATATATCTTCTTCTTCTCTTAAAGACGATGAACTACTCATGATAAAGAACTAAACCGAACTTACCGTACTATATTGCAAATGCTAATCAAAGTAGTTTGCGTCGCATCGTATCGCGTTGCGCAGCTATGTGAGAATAAAGGCGCGATTTTGAAGCATCGCGTCGCGAGTTATGAACGTCCCATCTCGGTGTAACCTGAGAATATGCAGGCTAAGCATTAAAGATAATAAAACAAATGTAAAACATAATAAGATTGTCTTTATGTAATTCACACTTAAACAATAAAGTCCCTGTGTAGAAAATATTTGTTTTAAAAACCCTATTCTTGGAACCGCAAACAAAAGTGGCGCAGTTGGTAGGCTAGTGAAGGGTTGATTTTAGTGAACTATAATCGGCAACGAAAAGTTCGTGTGCAAATCCCGTTCGTCTTACGATTAATTCACTAGTTAAAATCGTGTTCCCAGAGTGGTGAAAAAACAGACTACACAGCTCAGGGTGAGAACAAAAATCGTCAACCCCTGAAACCCTGGTGGAGGACACACATCGCCAATACCAGTTAGAATAAGATAGAAGTAAGAAGACCTGGGGAAAGAACAAATTTTTCGGAACCTATAGGCAACTAGATGAGGATGAAAACAATATTAATAATACTGTAAGTGCTCAATCCATTTTTATTCCTTTTTCCCATTGTTGTTCGACTTAAATGGTAGCTTTTAAGTAATTTAATTTTATTTTGATGAGCGATTCTGATATAGAAAACTTAATTAAAAGTATTGAAACTGTAAAATTAGATTCAGAATCCGACTCAGAAATATTAATATTAAACAATAGCAACATAATGACTACAAATAACACTAATTATCAGTTAATTCGTTTATACTTGGAATCTATTCCAAATTATAAGGGAAACCCTCGAACATTAGGTATTTTTATAAACACTTGCGATAAATTTATTAGTACTTTTGCAACAGACAATTTAACCGATGGTTTAAACGATTTTCTTTTAAGAGCTGTAATTGCCAAATTGACAGGTAGAGCGCTCGACTTAATTGGCTATCGTACAGAACTAACCAAATGGTCTGATATAAAAACAGTGCTTCAATTAGGT